TCTTTCAATGAACCGCAGCATAGTTTCAGGCACGGGGGTGTGTTGATTGCTGAAAGGTTTCCTGAAGGCAGAGCCTGTCTTGTGATATAACTAATAAGACACAAGTGTCTCACGTTCTCTAAAAACCGATGGTTCTATTGTCCTAGTCTTGACTCATCTACTCCTAGTTTTTGAGTGTTATTTTTAGACAAGGAAACAACTCCTGCGTAGATCTTTTCAATTTGCAGACTTATGGACAGCTCGTTGCATGGTTGGTTTGCTGGTGGAAGTAAGTGGACTAGGTTGGTGTTTCCAGGTGGGTGAGTGGGTGACAGACACTCAGATGTGTGTCTGGGTGGCTGGGGAGGCAAGGCCCTGCTCTGCCTGGAGGGCCTCAGGCCCTGCTGACGGCCGGGGGTGTGTTCAGAGAGCACACTCAGAGCTGATATACCAGAAAAATGGAGTTCCCCTCCTTTCCCCCCACTGCAACCAGTCGTTGCTCCAAGTAAGAATTCAGTGTTTCTTTTCTTTCGTTTTTTCTGAGCTAAGTGCCTAAAAGAGTGCAAAAATGAGCAGTGCGCAAATCCTTCGTGGAATGAGGAAGAATATGAATAAATGAACCTGATTGACCAGTTTACTATTTGAGGTTTCCTGACATTTGGTTTCTAAAATGGTCACTTTATCCATTTATCTTTTGAATTTTACCTAAAGATATTAAAGCACCAATGCTTCAGGTTTGATAGATATGTATCTTCCTATTTTTCCTGACATTGATTATGTTATTCTGGCTTTTTTAGTAAAGGAATGTGTCGACAGCATTAATTTATGATGCCTGTTTCAGTGCTGCTGTGGGATTTTCAGAGGCCTCCCAAGGCCTGTGAGCTGTACCTGCCGGGACCCACCTGGGGTCACACGGGCTCAGTGCTCTGCGGCCATTGGACGGGCTGTGAGATCCCGACCTGAGCTATCGGTGTCTCCAAGGGCAGTGCTGTTGGAAGACAGTTCTTTAATTTCAATTTTAAATGTTATCCCATATTAGTTTTTTCATGTTCAGAAATGGGAAAAATATGATTTAATTAAAAAGTTTAGCTCTATGTAAATTTGTTCCATCCTTTGTGCTCCAGCAAGGTATCCCAGGGAGGCCATTAGAACCCCCTGGGTCTCGTCCACTTACTTCCTCTATGACTGGAGACAAATTAGTTGTTCAAAGGGTTGCTGTGAGGATTAAACCAGATATCGTAGGTGGAGGCCCTGGCATACAGCTAATGTTCTGCCTTTGTATATTTAGTTCAATTTTTTTCTAAACAAAACAACTTTGGTAATATCAGCTTCACATTAGAATCCAAAATATGTCTTTGCTTTTTAATGATAAAATGAAAAAGAGATTTATTGGGTAGCGTCAACTCTTAAATATAACCAAGATTTGAGCAATCACACAATGAGTATTTCTAGTTTGTAGAAATAATATAAATAAATATGAAAACTTGTTTTATGATTGGACTTATAAAGGAGATTTAGTGGGATTTTTTTGTTGTTGAAAGATAGGATTTGAAACCAAATGCTATGTATTCATGCATTCCTCTATATGATTTAGAAACATGTTTTCTATTTTCCCTGTGCATCCCAGTGTTTTTGTGTGATGTTTGTGCGATTTTAAATTCTGTTTTGTGGAACATAAGCCGGTGTTTATGAATATGTATTAGTGAAAAGCAGATTTTCAATTTAGTGAGCAGAATTAACATTTTGTCACAGATTTCCCCTCTTCGGTTTCAGTTTTCATGTACTCTTTTTCTTTGGCACCGAAGTCAGTGCTGATGTTTCCACTTCAGCTCCTACCATCCCTCCCGCCTCTTACTGCAGCCTGACTACGCTGCATATGCCGTGACTTTGGTGTAGAATATTCTCTGTTCTTTGCGTGCCAAAGCCCAGCTAATCCTCTCAGACCCGCCACACAGACTGTTCCTGCCGAGTCGCTCGTGGACTCTTCTGGGCGGCATCAGCTCTCCTCTTGCCCCCATTGTTCTTCCCTCAGGCTGGCGGTCACACCTCTCCACGCCAGTCCACCCACCCGTCTAATCCTGCGTCGTAGCCCTAGCTCTGGGCACAGAGCCAGACCCAAGTCCCTGCCCGAAAAAGGCGCTGCAGCCTGTGCTTCAAAAAGAGCACGGACAGTAGTAGGCTAGGGGTGGCACGGTGACGGGGACTCGGTGACAGTCAGCATTCGCACCAGCCAGACCGTTTGGTTCTGGTGCGTGACGGTGAGTGGAGACGCTTCACTGTTCCACAGATTTAGATTCTGTAGGTGATTCGTGGACTGGTGTGTGTGTTGCACGAGCGAAACGGCCGCTCTGGGGTGTTGCCCTGGCTGTAAGTATGACAGGACGAGTAGGGGTTTGCTAGCACCCTGGCCGACCTGATCTGAGAACTAGTGAGTGCCTAGAGCAGGGAAGTATTTTCATTTGGGACACTTTCAGGAGTCCTTTTCTCATATTTAGTCAGTAAGGTGTTTGGCTGAACATAGTTATGCTTTGCCTTTAAAACTTGATGTTTCAGAAAATGTTTCTTTCAAGAGAAATCCGGAGTAGATTACTCATGTCGTAAGGGAGTCTTCTCTTCTCAGTATCATTCTGTCTAATACAATTCAAATACCGCTTAGCTTATGGGAATTCTACTTCCCCAGAATTGTAGAGTCGTGTGTTATATGGATGCGTCCCTTTGGTGGCTGTGCGGCATGTCCCGGCCTGGGAGTGCGTGGTCGCTCAGCTGTGTGTTTGTGTGTGTGTGTACCGGCCGGTGCTCTGCAGCGTCTCTACCGCCCCACACATGTCACATACTGGCCAGCCCGTGTTTAGGACAGACTCATAAGAGGGATTGATTGCCGGGTCCCAGGGTGGGTGCACATGGGATTTTGTCATTGCTCCCCCATTTTCGTAGCCCTCCCATGGGAAGAACTGTGAGCATTAAGTCAACCCGTCTTCAAATCGGTTGCTTCTTAGTTGTGGGAGCAATACTGGGTCTGGTAACAGTGCTTTATTGGGGCTGCATCTCTTTACAACGCCTCTCAAAAGACAGCCACTTGTGTGTTACAAGTGTGCCGTGTGCTGGGCCAGGGGGAGCCGCTGAGCGTTACAGTGATGTGGGACACGTGAGGGTTTATGGAGGGTGGCATGACGGGGTGGTATGTGTTGGGAAGCTGTTGAGAGCTGAGTGGAGGTGATCGTAAGGAAGAAGTGGCCGAGAGGGAGGCAGGGACAAAGTCAGAGGCAGACAGCAGAGCCCACCTCTGTGGAGGAGCCGTGATTGGAGCCTTGAGCTGGAAACCCCTCTGAGCACACAGGAGTCAGCGGTCAGGCGGCCCTGGAAGAGGTTGTGTTCTGGAGCCGGCAGCTCGTGGTGCTGCCAGCAGTCACGGCAGCACCAGACAGCCGGGCCTGCAGAGTCCTTGGCTCTGCCGCGGGCTCGGAGACTAAGGAGGGGTAGTGTGCAGTGAGGGCGTCCCCGGTGCTCTCGAGGAGAGGGTGCTCGTTGCTGCCTGTGGTCCTTCTGTCGCCACCAGTGGCTGCTTGGATTCAGAGGGACCCGGGCACAAGGGGAGGCCACCTCCCAGCGCAGTTAACACCTCTCTGAGACTCACGTGCCCTGGAGCGGCAACCCTGTCGCTTCCCCGACCTGACTCAGAGTGCTGAGCTGCCTTACTATCGATAGAATGGGAGAAATGCGGGCTGCACCCTGCAGACGAATCGCACGTACTTAATTTCGCGACCTAGCCTGGCCGGTTTAGCGTCGCCCCAGCCCCACACGCCCTGTCCCGGGACCGTGCATCTCTCCCAGCGCTGAAGCCCCACTCAGGTCACAGTGGGCTTCCGCGGTGCTTGTCTTCCCGAATCTGCCTTCCTAAGCGTTTCTGTCCCTCAATTCCAGAAGGCCACCGTCCCTTTAGTTTTGTCCCAGATGGATTCAAGCTAACTTAGAAAACTTAGTTCACCCTAGCTCACCGTCATGGTTCAAGCAAGTGAAGGACTTCACGTCCTGTGGTGTAGGGTGCGGCCTGCTCAGGCACCGGACATGGACGCGGGCTTGGATGGAGCCTGCTGTGGCTTCTCTGACCAGGAACTGGCTGCTGCCGGGTCCCATTCTGTGTTTCATCTGTAGGCGCCCAGCAGGTGAGGTGGAGTTAGTTTTCCAGAACCATCGTCTTGGGACACCACCCCGTGATAATATTCCCAGATCAGCCCCTCTCAGGCCAAGTGTGGGGCGGGGGCTTGTCTTTTACTGGCTGCAGTACGTGTGTTATTTAGGAAAGTGTGGCAGCTCTAAACATCTGAACATTTCTCAGCACGTATCAGTCACCAGGACAGAACTGCCTGTGACCCACTGTCCGTCCAAACCAGAAGTGTGGCTTCAGAACCTTGCTGTGGCCTGTATGCTTTTTTGAGGATTGAGGCTCTCGGAGGAGAGCTCCCTACCCCAAACAGCTTCAGCCCTCTTCTGCAAGGGGGTTATAGTTCAACAGTAAAGAAAATACGTTTCCACCTTTTTTCTGAATAGGTTTCTTTCATCCTTGGCAAACACTTGTTTTCTCCAGTGAACAGGCCCTGCTCATGGAGAAGCCTAGTACAATACTCATGGGGGTGGGGGGAAGGCGGGGGACAGTGTGGAGAGGAGCCAGACAGGGAAGGCGTCTGGAGCTGCTTTGGGCCACAGAGGAAGACAAGGAAAAGGCGGGGTTTCAAAGGCTTTGTGTCTAGGTCTCTGGGGTCCATGATGACAGTGCAGAGTCCAGATTCTAGCTAGTGTCCTCTGGGCAGGGGGATGTAGGGAGGGGCTGTAACATCTGTTGACATTAGACGTTTCTGCTTTCAAGTGTCCTCAGCGTGTAAAGCTGGAGGGCCACAGTCCATTTGCCAAGCGTCAGCGCCGAGTGTTCCAAAGCAGCGTAGTGTGCACAGTAGGCCTACAGTGAGAATAGCAGTGGCCTACGTGACTGGAATCAGAACGTCACATGTGTATTTTTCTCTTAGGTCCATTTTCCAGACACTGAAAGAGCAGAATGGCTAAATAAGGTAAGAGTGCAGAGCACTGAATACCAGGCATCCTGGGAAGTGGGGGAGGAGGTGCCATCTCTCCATATTTGGGAGTTGGGATGTTGACACTGTGAACTCATTTGGACTTGGTGGTTGGCTTCTGCTCCCATAAGAACTCAGTCATAAATGATATGTTAGTTTGCTTTTTCACCCAATGAAACCTGGGTCTCCGCCATGGGAAAATTAAGGAGGTATTCATGGCTGCATCTTCGGCCTCTGCCTTCTTTCCTGAGCAGCTACTGCTCACATCTACGATGTAATAGTCGTTAAGCCAAGATTTGGGGAGCGTTATGATGAAGAGGGGAATAACTCCCCAGAAACCTAGTGTAGATAATCATCATCAATTTTTCCTTTAAAGGCTATGATTTTAGCTCAGTGCCCTTTGCAGCACATCTTGCATCTCCACATCTTACGTGTCCTGAGAGCTGTGGAGTGATGTCATGTGGGTGATGACCGCCTGACCCTGGGCCCGCCGACTGAGGTGGTGCAGTTGTAGAAGGCTTTTAGCAATGAGTTGAAACCACAGGTTTTCTGATTTTTTTTTTAGCAGTCATTAAATGGGCTGACATGCCTCAATAGAACATTTAACCAGAATAACTAATTCCTGCAACATGTTGGTTAATCAGTAGTTTATAAAACATTTTCAAATTTAAAATCATGTAGATTTTGCATAACAAAAAGGACCCCCCCCTTTAATTTTCAAAAATTCTGGTAAACTGTAGGGACATAATTTTTCATTATGATTTAAGTACATTGTGTGTTACAGCATTTTGTTTAACATGAGTTCTTTGTCTTTTCCAGACTGTAAAACATATGTGGCCTTTCATTTGCCAATTTATAGAGAAGTTGTTTCGAGAAACCATAGAGCCAGCTGTGCGGGGAGCAAACACCCACCTCAGTACCTTTAGCTTCACAAAAGTCGACATGGGTCAGCAGGTCAGTTGCTTCTAAGTACCCCTGCTTGTGTACATGGTGGGATTGCTGTGGAGACTTCAGATGGCATGGTAAACCACCCCAGGTTATTGTCTGGAGAACCTTGCCCCCTGGGAAGGTCTAGCGGGTCTCTGCAGCTCCTCCCAGGGTCCACCACTACGTGCGATGCCCTCGCCTTGTCTGTCAGGCGCCTCTTCCCTTCACTGTGGTCTCCCGGCCAGTTCAGGTTCATTGGGGGGTTTCCCCTAGTTCCAGCGCGTCTTTCTACCCTACACCCTTCTGTCAGAATTACCTCTGTACAGTTTTCAGCAATCTGTTTGGTTGGAAAGGGAGGCTGATATGTGAACTCACACGAAAGGTTCAGTAATGGACAAAGATGCTTACGGCAACCACAACTGAGGACTCCAGTGCCAGTTATGTATGCATCGCCTTAATTCCATAGGTGACGGAAAGGTAGATTTGTTACTGGGATTATGTGACAGGCATACCTCATTTTATTGTGCTTCACAGATAGTGCATTTTTATTACAAATTGAAGGTTTGTGGCAACCCTTCATCGAGCAAGTCCATTGGCACCATTTTATCAACAGGCTAGGATGGTGGTTAGCAATTTTTAGCAATAAAGTACCTTTTTGCAATAAAGTATTTTTAAATTAAGGTTGTACATTGTTTTATAGATATGTGCTATTGCACACTTAACAGACTACAGTATAGTATAAACATAACTTTTAGAGGCACTGGGAGACCCAACCTTCATGCGACTCACTGTATTGCGGCATCGGTCTGGACCACAGCCGCAGCGTGGGCACGGTCTGCCCATATGTGCCAAGGAAAACTTCTATTCCTAGTCGCACTTCTGGTGGGAGTATCAGGGCTACATCTGAGTTAGTCATGGCATTTCCTTTCTTAATTTTTTAAGTCACTGTTGATTATAATTAGCAACAGTTTAAGGTAACTTTTTTTACTGAGGTGTGATTGACAGGAAAACATTGTATTAGTTTCCAAGGTAACATTGTTTCATGGACCTAATACATTTGCAGAGCCCAGCACTTGAACAACAGGCCCCCCTCTCCCGCCAGCTGACAGGCAGTTGGTGCTCGTACAGCAGAGCCAGATAGCCACTGTGCCTTGTGGCTCTGATGTCTCTGCTTCAACCCGGTGGGGTTTTCATGGACGTGGCTGAGGAGTGTGAGACCTGGTTGCTGTGTCGTGTTTGTCCTGGCGGGTCCTTTCCGGTCCCACCCGCACTCCCCTGGCCACCTTCCCCGGTGGAAGGCGATCTCTGTGCCCAGTGCTCGTGTTGCCTGCAGTTACCCCTGGGCAGGAGGCACACTCGAGCGTGGCTGTGCCGTGCTGGCTGTGTCCTCGTACCGGGAGGCCTCCCAGTGCCAGCAGGGGTGAGTGCACAGGTGCCCTCACTATTTCCTTCTGTAGCCAAGACGGCAGCAGATGGCTTACAAGCAGTGTGGACATGATGCAGGGCTCAGGATAGTAAATATTTCCATCTTGACAGCCGCTTAAAATCTTCCCCTGCATGTTCTTTTCACGCATATTTTCCCTCCAACCCCGCTACTTTTACAACCTTAAACAATGTGAAAACCATCCTTAGCCAAAGGGCAGCTTTAGCCTGCAGGCCCCTAATGTCGGCTTGCTCCTGCTCCTGCTGGTGGAGGCCGAGAATTCTGAGCTGGTTTGCTTTACGACCATTATGTTCACGTTGGTCACAGGCTTTAACTCACGGAGCACCTCACTGGCTGGCGAACACTGAGCACTGGTTCAGTGAAGGTGCGTTGTATCGATGGCACGGACACCTTCCAGGTGCCAGCGGACACAAGGGCCTGCAGAGCCCCGGGCTTTGTCCACGCGGGGTGTCCGAACTGCATTCCTCAGCACCCTCAGGGGGGCCCCTCCTTAGTGCTGCCTGGTTATCTGGAATGGGGCTGGCCTCCCTGCTTCCAGTCTGCCTTCTAAGAGAAGGAAGGACGCGTTATCGAAGCACACATTTATCGAAGGCACTGAGCCTGTGCCCACCTTCACGTGTCCATGTAGTGAGCTGACCATACCCTTTGTGGTCATCGGTCGGTCCTGTCTGAGCTGGTCCCATCAGGGAAGCCTGGAGACCTGGAATAGTAGGGATCGCAGCCTCCCAGGGAAAGACATGGAGTGTGATCCTGCAGCTTGTTGAGGGTGAGATCTCAGGACACCCAGACTGTCCAGGTAAGGACACCCTTACTTGTCCAAGTAAGCAGTAGTGACTAAAAGGCAGGGATTCCTTCAGCTTGAGTTTTTAATGCTCAGATTGATGTTGAGAACTTTCTTAGACTGGATCTCAGATTCATGAATGGGAACAGGTTTTTTTTGGGTTTTTTTAAAGCTGAGCCATCCTGCTACCTGTTGGCAGCTCAGCGGCTGCTCAGCTCGGGCTGGACTCGAACCGCTGTTGCTCAGAGCTCAAACTCTTGAGCGAGCTCTTAACCAACTGAGCCACTTGGCCGGCCCTGGGAACAGGTTTTGAAACGATGTTATAAGCGGGCCCTTGAAATATAACATTTATTGTAATCTGCCTTTTCTTTTTACAGAGTGACTTGAGTCAGACCCTATGTCATGTATTAGGTGTTGAAATTATAAATTATATCTCCAGCTAGTGTTTTTGATTCACTCAGAAGTTCCATTTTTGTGAAAATAGTAAGAAATGAAAACTTACAAGACATAAAAAAATGAAAGGCTATGTTTCAAACAGTGGAGTCAGGATAGAGCAGAGGGAAAGGAAATTGGATGAGACAAGGGCTGAGGGGCTTGGGAAGGAGCAAAGCCTGTGACTGACAGCCCCACGTGCTGACAGCAGCACGTGTCATTTGTGTCACTAGTGGGTCCCCCAGTGTGTGAAGCTCTCCACGCTCCTTGTGTCCTGTGGCTCCACAGTAACCTCGTGAGAGCGACACCATTGCTGTCATCATCTCACAGATGACAAGGCTGAGGAACAGAGGTTAAATAATACGCCAGAAGTGAAGCAGCTAGTGCACTGTGAAAGCAGAATTTTCATTCCTGATGCTAAAGCTTGTTCTCTTCAGCTCTGTGCCATATTGCAAGGTTTGGTGTTTTATTTCTTTTTTCTTTGAACGTCCCTACATTTTAAAGTAAGCCACTTCTTGTTTCAGCCCCTCAGGATCAATGGTGTTAAGGTGTATACTGAAAATGTGGACAAAAGGCAAATCATTTTGGACCTTCAGATTAGGTAAGTTCGTATTTGTGTTGCAGCTGTCATCGGTAGTGGTGTGTGATGTCAGTTAGCGATGACCATGAGGTGGAGAGTATAATGAGCACATTTCTTCCCTGCTGTTTGGTCGGATTTGACCAAATTCTTGATGAAGACCCATTTTTATTTACTTTCTGGGTCTCAGCTCCTACTAGTCTAGATAATTGCCATTCTTAAAATGTGAAATAAAACTGTAGACAAGTATCACAACCATTGATGCCAAAGTCCTCAACAAAATACAGTAAAACCTTGGATTGCGAGCAATGTGGTTTGTGAGTGTTCCGCAAGACGAGCAAACATTTCTAATACATTTTAACGTGGTAAACGAGTGATATCTTGCAATACGAGTAGTTTGTTTCCGGAATGAATTATACTTGCAAACCTAGGCATCACTGTACTAGCAAACTAATTTCAGCAACGTGTTGAAAGGATCAAACACCATGACCAAGCGGGATTCATTCCTGGGGTGCAGGGATTGTTCAACATGAAAACATGTCACTGTTAATAGAATGAAGAAAACCACATGATCATCCCAGTTGATGCAGCCAAAGCATTTGACAAAATTCAACACTTGTTTCATGATAACAACACTTAAACTTAGAAAAAAGGAAACTATTTCATAAAAAAAGGCATATATGAGAAACAACAGATATCCTCACTGAAAGACTGAAAGCTTTTCCTCTAAAATCAAGAACAAGGCGAAGATGCCCGCTCTCACCACTTCTATTCAACAGGGTACTTTAAGGCAAATTAGGTAAGAAAAAAAAGGAATAAGAGACATCTAGGTTGGAAAGGAAGAAGCGACAATATGTCTGTTCACAGATGATACGAACTTCTATATAGAAAACCCTGAAGATTCCACAAAAAAATCCTCTTAGAACTGATGAAGTCAGCAAAGTAACAATAAAAAATCAACACAAAAAAATCAGTTACATTCTATACACTAAGAAAGATCAATCCAAAATGGAAATTAAGAACACAGTTTCACTTATAGTGAATAAAAAAAGAATGAAATACTTAGAAATTAACAAAGGACGTGACAGACTCATACAGTGAAAACTACAAAGTATTGCTGTGGGAAATTAAAGACGCCATAAATAAATGGAAAGACATTTCATGTTCATGGTTTGGAAGACCTAACACTGTTAGATGTCAACACTGAAAGCAATCTGAAGAATCAGTGCAACCCACGTAATCATGTATCTGCTAAGGGGCTGATCTCTATCTTATATGGAGAACTCCTATAACTCAACAACAACAAAACAGAATAACCTGATTGAAACATGGGCGAAGGGCTTGAATAGACCTGTCTCCAAAGACGATACGCAGATGGACGATAGGCACATGGAAAGATGCTCAGCCTCACTAATAATCCGGGAGATGCAGATCAAAACCACAGAGGCGTACCGCCTCACACCCAGCAGGATGGTCACTGTTAACAACAAGAGCAAGTGATGGTGAGGATGTGGAGACATTGGGACCCTGTGCACTGTGGGTGGGGATGTAAAACGGTGCAGCAGCTGTGGAAAACTGGAGGCTCCTCAGGAACTTAAACATAGAATTATCCCACGGCCCAGCAGCCCTACTTACGGGTATGTACCCAGAAGAATTGAAAATAAGGCCTCAGAGATACCTGTGCACCCATGGTGATGCCTGAACAACAGCGTTACCTTGCCCGATCCCACCGAGCTGTACACTTAAAAATGGTTCGTTTTTTGTTGTGTATATTTTATCACAATGAAACAATTGGAAAAAAGTAAACTGAGGTTCTGCCAGATGCCATGGCTAGCATAAAAAAGGCGGTTTTCTTTGTATCTTGTCCTCATTCTTTGTGAACTTGCTCACGGCTCCTTGCACCCGTGTGAGGCCTGATGTGCGGCTGTGTATATAGGGTGACTGTGGAACTGTGTTGACTGATGGACACGGCTCAGTTTTGTTTCTTTTTTTGATCCTCGATTGAGGAGCATTTTATTTTCTAACATCTTTTGAGTTTCTAAAGTGTGTTGACATAGTAAATGGACATAGTTGGTACTAATTACCTTCATTTTAGAGGAGGGCATAGACTGTCTATAATCGCACGTGTAAAAATCTGCATCATTAAAACATTTGGCACGGGCTGGCTGAGTGGCACATTGGTTAAGAGCTGGCTTGGGACGCCAGCTCTGAGCAGTAGGGCTCCGGTTCGGATTCCACATGAGGACCAGTGGACTGCGCCCTCTACAGCTAAGATGGTGAACAACAGCTCGACCTGGAGCTGGGCTGCTGTGAGTTGCCAGTGATGGCGTAGGCTGCAGTTCCTGCTGCAGTGGGCTGCCATAAGCTACCGTGTGTGGCCGGCAGCCAGCGTGAGCGGCCAGCAGCCAAGAGCCGCCATGAGCGCTGTCCAGAGGCCAGCGACTGATCTGCCTCACCCGGGAAGAGCCCAATGATAATACCAACATGGGCCAGTGAAGCAATGTCCTCCACAATTAGACTGAAGAACAAAAGGACAGCAACTTGTCTGTTCCCCTTCCCTGATTCCCCAGCGCTGTTCCTCTCCCCCAACTCCCCAATAAAAAAAATCTAAAAACAAACAACAACAACAACAAAAACATTTGGCATTGTTGTGAGCACTTGTCAGAGGAACAGAAGAGGAAGCCCCACAATGTCTTTAGTTCAGCTGTGCCCTGGAAGGGCTGTCCGCCTGGCTGCTGTGAGCTTCATGAGGAGGGAACCTGTTCTGTTCCTGTCCCGAGGGAGGAACTCACATGTGTTCGTTACACAAACATTTGAATGAGTCAGCTCATGGGAGCCATTCCGCAGGTGCAGTTTGACACACCTGGTTTTAGTCATATCGACAGGTGCACATTGTGCTGCTCAGATGTGCAAGTCTGAGAACACCTGCATCCTACCTTTTGGTGTATTCCAGACGAGGACCTTACCTAGGTGCTTGGCAGTAGAGATGGGGAAGGAGTGATTGAAAGACGATAAGAAATAAAATGATCGAGTCTTAGGGTGAAGAACAGGAAAGTTTCAAGATGGTTTCCTAACAGATTTTTGGTGATTTTTACCAACTAGAGAATCATGCTTCGTGAGAAGAACCTTAACAGCAGGACAGTAAACATTGGAAGGATTTCCTCCCAGATGCTTTTGTGAATATTTCGCTCGTGTGCCTAGACACTCTCTCCAGCGTTTGTCGAGCTGCCCGCACATATTCTCAAGCAGGAGTGTGACATCTTTCACCTGGAGTCAAGGGTGAGGGGTCAGCTCAGACAGCTCCCACCCAAAGCCTAGCTGACACTTCACGTTTGTATTCAGAATAGATGCAAGCCTTGCATTCAGCATCCTACAACATTCATGTTTGTTTCATATTGATTGAAATGACTTGATCATTGAGTCACATGATGCTTCAGACAGACACGCCATTCCTAACCTTTCATATCACAGAATGCTGGAGTTCTAGTTTTCTCAGGACTGGGGAGCATGGGCGCAAAATTTACTGGTGGCGAAATATATCTAGACTTGATTATGTTTTAAACAAACACAGGTGTTTATAAAACAGATGAAAACTACATTCCATCATGACACTGCTCCAGCATTGTCCTTTGGAAAATGGCACTGGTAACAGTTAAGTCTGCAGTGGGCCTCCCCGTCTGAGACCGCTGCAACCCTGGCAGTGAGACGCTCCGACCGGGCCATAGTGCACAGCTCTGCCGACAGCTTGGGCTGCTTTACTGTCGTTTTCTTCAGATGGTGTGTCTGGTAATGATGATTAAGAGAATGTAACACAGAACTTTTTCTTTGCTAGTTTTGTAGGAAATTGTGAGATTGATTTGGAGATCAAGCGATATTTTTGTAGAGCCGGTGTGCAGAGTATACAGGTAAGGTTTCTTTTAATTTCACTGTCTTCTAAAATGCTCAGTGTTCTGGTCAGAAAGAAAATTGTGAAGTTTGTATGAAGTCGGAATGTGTTTAAAGCTCCGTTTTTCTCGGGAGGTTAGACTTGAGAGACCAGATGCGTAGAGGTCGCTCAGGCAGGCAAGTGTCTGCTCGTATCAGCGAGTGGCCTTCGGAGCGACTGGCTGTGACATGGTTTGGTTTCCCCTTTGAATATAGATTCATGGTACGATGCGGGTGATCCTGGAACCGCTGATCGGAGACATGCCCCTAGTGGGAGCCCTGTCTATCTTCTTCCTCAGGAAGCCGGTAAGTTGCTGTGCCTTTTGCCTTACCTTCCTGTTCACCCAGGAGAATACGACCAGATGAAAGGGCTCTAAAGGGAGAGGCAGCGCCCTCCGTGTGTGGCCGCCTACCTTCCTGCGTGTGAATCCTGGGTGTGCTCATGCTTCTTTAGACCCTGACGGACGGTTCCATTTCCTGGGATAGACAACTTTTCTTCCTGACTATAAAAATGCTACGTTTGTTACAGAAATTTTGGGAACAGCCTTTTTTTAAGTGTAGGTTTGTAATTGACATTTAGTACCTATCACTGAGTATTTATAGATATTTGCTCGTTTACCCCTCACACCTCTGTAGCTAAATGCGACGTGGTTTATGTCACTGACCAGGAACTGAGAGCCTCATTTGTCCCAGTCACAAAACCAGTGAGGCTAGGAGCCCCTCCTGGACTAGGCTGGCCTGCCAGAGCTGCTGCTCTCGCCGTACAACCCTCCTGCTGTCCCCCTGTAGGACCCACCCCCATCCCCTCACTCCCCCCGACACACAGAGACAGCCATCATTCCATGTGGGGTCTGTGCAGCTATGCATGAGGCTTTTAAGTCGTAAAGATGTTTTGACTGAATTATATTCCAACACTTGGATAAACCATAAAAAAGGTTATCATTTCACATTGTTACGTACATATATTATTCCAGTTTTGTTATAAGTAGTCAGTAGTTATTAGCCACAAAAGTAAGGCAACAAAAATACCATTTGAGCCTAGAATCGCCCCCCCCTCACCTTGGCTTCTCTTCCTGAGGCCCCTCCCTTTCCCTGGGCCTTCTCCCCTTACCTGGTGGCTCCTGCTCATGTCAGCTCCTGCAGCCCCTGACTGGCGTCCTGCCTTGCTTCTGTCCTCCGGAGACCTCACCACTAGGGATCTTCCCAAGGTGCTAACTGACCCTCCAGAGGTCGGCCATCTCTCACTGCACAGTCATCGTTCTCTCCCCAGCCTCATTTCCTGGCATTGCCCCGTGAGCATCCCAAGTGCCAACCATGGCAACCACGGGGAAGAGTTACAATCTGGGGATGGCACTGACCCATCACCCCTCACCTTTTCCTTTTCCCAGAATGCTGTCTTGAGCCCTTTGTGTCACCCTGTCCCAGGACAGGGGACAGGCTTCCTTCTCACTCCCATGGCACCCAGACTGGCCTGTGGGCTGGAGCACCCTCCTCGCTAACTCTTAGAAAGCCACACCGCCTGTCTCCATACAGTTCAGTGTCTGAGGAATGAATTGATCTGTTTCTCAAATACCTCTCCATGATATGCCATTTTTATAATCTTTGATGTACCCTTTCCAGAGGTGCCATTAACATCATATACATTATAAAATGGGAATATTTATTGATTCAAATAGCTTAATACAAATTACTGTTGTTGGACTTTTAAAATGTGGATTTATCTAGACCAAACTACAAGTGGTACTGTTTTGTATAAAAACAGAAGAATTAAGTGTCATCACTTGCTGTTACCACTGACATTATTCTCATTTGCTTTTTATTGCTTAAATAATGGGCATATTTTGAATGTATTTTAACACAGTAGTCTCCCTTTCTCCACGGTTTTGCTTTCCGCAGTTTCAGTGACCCGTGGTCAACCGTGATCTGAAAACATTAAATGGAAAATGCCAGAAATAAACAATTCGTAAATTTTAAGTTGCGTGCCTTCCTGAGCAGCAAGCAGTGAAACCTTGTGCTGTCCTGCCCGTCCCCCTTGTCCAGGCCACGCTGCACCCGCTCCCCCCGTTAGTCACTCAGTACCCAGGCTGGTTATCAGATGGACTGTCGCTGTGTCACAGTGCTTGTGTTCAAGTGACTCCTTTTGTTACAATTACTCTGTTTTGTTATTAGCTATTATTGTTAATCCCTCTCTGTGCCTAACTGATAAATTTATCATAGGTGTGTACATATAGGAAAAAGCATAGTGTATGCAGGGTTCAGTACTATCCGAGGTTTCAGGCATCTACAGGGCTGCTTGGCACAGATCCCCACAGATAAGGGGGACCACTGTACACAAAACATGGTAAAATTCAAAAGCTATTAAAGGACCTCTGTGTTAAATTTATTAAAATTTTGACAAATGAAGAGATTCATAAATGATTTTAAATCCATGTTTTTTTTCCCACATACAAATTGTTTAAAAGCCAGTATGTTTAAGAAAGCTCCTTCATTAACGGGTATGAAAAACTGATCTTTCGCAAATTGCTAAGTATTTTTAACTTACAGGAAATTTTTAAGAATTTAAAGGCCGCCTTTTTTCAGTTTAGAATGTGACAGAATCCAAATGTTCCTCAAAACTTAGTGTGGACCTGCCATAGGTGTGCTCACCTTAAAATATTAATATTAATATTAACATCCAAACGAGGTTTCAGCGCTCAGAAGGATGAGGCTGTGAAAAGTGTGGAATCACTCATTTCCTTATATGGTGGGTAAATCACCAAACATGCCTCAGAGAGAAGGGAATTTTTTTCAGTTACTTTCTACTGGAAAATATGACAACAGAATTCAGTGCTGGCTGCCAAGTAATCCTTCTCATCCTTCTCATGAAAAATACAGCTAGAGAGATTTGCGGGGGTTTTTTTTTTCTTTTTTTTTCTTTTTATTATCCAGATGATCTAGAAGCATTGTGTCAGAGGCGCTTTTACACCTTTTTCTGCTTGTTGATTTGTTTAGATTATTTTTGACAATGTGCTACTTGTTTTAAAAAAAGCTAAAATAATTTCTGAAATGATGAACTTCTGGGGAACTTTTTAGAAGGCAGTTGAGTATGACGGCTAAATGACAGACAGGTGTCAGGCAGCCTGGTTTTCCACCCCTGGCTCTTTCTCTGCCCACTGTGTGCTTTGAACAACTTACCGAAGCCCCAGTTTCCCCGTCTGTAACATGGGGATTACAGTAATGCCTACCTCACAGATTAAACATCAGTGGCTGTGAAACACTTAATATGATGCCGGGCAAGTACAAGTCCTCAGATTTTTAAGAAATTAAATGTTTTCCTAAATGTCGGTTTAGCATTCTGGTGGGGTCTCCACACAGGAGGTCACAAGGCTTGGATGCAGGTTCTGGCAGAAGCCAGAAGAAGCCAGGATTGGACTTTGGACGTGTCCGTGGACTCGGTGGCCGCTCGCTCATGCTGCCTTGGCAGCTGGAATCACTCTGGCAGACACTCGCCGGGGTGATTCAGAGCCCTCAGGTCTCTTCCAGAGCAAGGCCAAGAGGACCGATGGGACTAGAGCCTGTGTAGGGGGCCCTTTCAGAACCTCTCCAGGAGATGGGGTGGGCGCTCGCTCTGAAAGTGTTTATCCTGAGGGGTTGCTCAGCTAGCAGAGAACATGCCTCCTGAGTCTGGACCACAGATGGTGGCAGCCACATCATCTTCGTTTTAGAATGATGGGGACAAGAAACTGAGTCCCATTAGCTGGGACTCCACCGATGAAAGTGCCTTAAGCAAAGGAGGGACTTTATGTAAAAATAAAAACAGCATATACTGGTGTCTCACGAAACCCATGCAGGGGCTGCAGTTGAATGTAAGGAACAGACTGGAATGTGACTGCCTCTCATGCTGTCACACCTTTGCTCTCCTCTCTGTCGCTGAGGCCAGCGCCCTCTACCCTCCAGCCCACGTGCCAGAATCCTGGCTGCCAGTGCCCCCTGTCCCCCCTGCCTTCCCTTCGTCCTTCCCTTTCCTGTTCCAGCTGGGTCAGACATGGACCCCGCGAGCAGCGGGGCAGGGAAGGTTGCAGTGTTTGAGCAAGGCTCCTAGAAGCCGCTGCGACGACCCTGCATAGGAGGTGGCAGTGAGGCGGGGAGGCTGGCTGGGCAGACAGGTCCGCATGGGCCTGCCGGACGGGGTAAGGCCTCAGACCCTCACCTCACATCACGTCACCGGGGCGCTCTGGGGGTGTTCATCTTGCCGGGTCTTCTCTGGGTTTTATTTATTTATTCATTTATTGAAATAAAAGTATGAGTTTATTTTTAAATATATTTCATATGAAAATACTTTGAAAATGGTATAAGCAGATTATTCAATAATACATCTGTACATATGTGACCACGAACATGTAGGTATGATTAGAATTTCTACATGTTCTTGGTAGATTTCTCTGGGTGTCTCAGATCTGTGGTCTGACAGCTTTTCCTAGTTTGGACAGTCCTGCCCCGTCACAGTGGTGGGGACGGGAGCCCCACGTTGTCCTGGCCCGTCCTGGGTCCTGGAGCCGGCGCTGTCCCCCAGCTGCAGTGGGCCCCTTCCCCGGGGCTCCTGTTTCTTGCAGTAGAAGGAGGTCTGTCTTTCCAGCAGCAGCTGCTCCCTCTGCAGCCTCGGCCCTGCAGGAAGGGTTCCCTCCGGCTCCCAGTCTCTGCAGCGAGCACACGCTGTCCAGCCCACTGAGTGTGCTGCACACACCCTGTGTCTGCATTTCAAACGGCTTACGCCGGCTCACCCACACGTGGCCTTCAGCAGTTAGGATCAAGCTGGAATCGTGTCACCTGCCCAGTGGTGGCCTCTCCCTCCCCTCGGAGCTGCCTCTAACAAAGGGTTTCAGGTTGGCCCTGTCACCTCAGGTCTCCCGTGCATTCGAGACTGATGTCCTTTCCAGTTTTCCTCATCCCAAGTGGAAGCTGTAAGTCCCAGGAGCTTTAAAATGTAAGGAAGGCATTCTTGACCTAGATCCCCAGCCCAAACGACTAATTTTGAGCCACTGGAGAAGGGTGGGCGCTCCCAGCCTGTGTTCCTAAGTACTGCCAGGTGATTCATATTCTGTACTGCAGCAGTTGAACTATAGCTTTTCCTACATCCATCAGACAACACATTATGGAAAAGCAGAGAGGTGAAGCACATGTCTGGGTTTCGTGAAATACACGGATACGCTCGTGTTGTTCAGGGGAAATGTGACTCTTCCTCGTTCTGTTCCTCACAGAAGAGCAGCCCGCAGAGGTGACTTCCTGCCTTTGCAGACAGACTGGCTTGCTCTTCAGCTTCCAGAAACATGTTAGTCATCCAGACGCAGGGGGCAGGGCACTCCTCGTGGATTCCTCCCTGGGTTCCTGGGCGGACTTTCCACTCAGCTTTCAAACCCCTCACACACACACTTGTCCTCTCACTCGCACACACTCATCCTTGTGCTCACACACTCACCCATTCTCACAATCACCCACATGGTTACACACTCGTTCTCACACGCTCACTCACTCTCACTGACTGCTCCCTTCTCTGTCCACTCTGGCAGTTTCCTGCTCCCCAGACGCCCCGTGCTCAGGGACATGTCATCTCGGGGCCTTGAACATGCGGCCCCTGTGTCTGAGGCCTTCTTTCTTGCATTCAGATCTCTTCTCAAACCCAGTGGAGTCCTCTTCTTCCACGCATCCTTCATCTCCCTCCTTGGCATTTTGTATCTCTGAATGTGGGCAGCATTTACAGGAATCTTGTCATTTTGACGAGGGTCATGTGAGCAGGCCTCTGTCGCCTGATGAGTTTATAATTTCTAATTGGCGCCCCTCCAGGTGACCTGCCCTCCGGCAGGGCCTCTCGTTAGTCCTGGAATGTCCCCTAAGCTTCCTGATTCACCAAGAGGCCGCAGGCCTGGAAACTGCTGTGTTTTCAGAACCTGTGGTTCCGCCTAGTGGAAAATACATGTAGAGCGGTGATCGGGATGCAAGGGAGTGCGATGGCTCTGGGTGGGCGGTGCTTCTAGGCCTGATCTTCCAAAGGGCAGTGAGGGGTTCATGGTGAGGTGAGCCATGCAGGTGCAGCCCTCATGTCTCATGTGGAAAAATCGTCACCTCCCAGGGCTTTAAAAACTTGTTGCTGTTTAGTTTTGGTCTTTCCAAAAGAACCTTGATCTTCTGGTTGACACTTATTATAACCAACCCTTCCTCAAAGGACCTTGAGTGGAATTTGTTACTTCAGCCGCGTGGGTCATTGAGATTGTGTGGTTTCCCATAGCATTTCTATGCAAATGTAAAGCATGGGGAATTTTATGATACGCAGTATCCATTTTGATAGGAAAAGAGGTGTTTCTAATCAGTAGTTTTTACCTGTCCACATCCACTTAATGGAAATTGGCCAACGGTGCAGGTGTTATTCTGGGGTAAATACCCACTAGAAAGATGAGCAAACAAATACAAATGTTGAATGGAAAATGCAGATTGAAACAGTGATAAAGTATCGTGTTTTAACGGCCACATGGACTAGTTTTTTTTGTTGTTGTTTTTTTTTCTTTTTTTTTTAATTTTTTTTTACTTTTTACAAACCCTTGTGTCGAGGGCTGACTTTCAATAGATCGCAGCGAGGGAGCTGCTCTGCTACGTTCGAAACCCCGACCCAGAAGCAGCAGGTCGTCTACGAATGGTTTAGCGCCAGGTTCCCCACGAACGTGCGTTGCGTGACGGGCGAGGGGGCGGCCCCCTTTCC